GTTACTTTATTCATTTCAAGAATTTATTTTGTTTTCCAACTATGTGTATTTGTGTGTGTGTGTGTGTGTGTGTGTGTGTGTGTGTGTGTGTGTGTGTGTGTGTGTGTGTGTGTGTGTGCTTGTGCATGTGCTTGGAGATGCTCTCAGAGTCCAGAAGAGGGCATCAGATTCCCTGGAGCTGGAGTCACAGGTGTTGGTGAGCCACCTGATTTGGCTGGGGCTGGCTGAATTCAAAATTCAAGCCTTCCGTAAGAACAGTGGATGCTCTTCACCACTAAACCATCTTTCCCAGCCCTTGAGACAGCCATTTAGATTACTGTGTGTGTGTGCACACACGCGCGCATGCACATGCATGCTCATGCACACACACACGTACTGTTCTTGCATGTCAGGGAGTGCAAGGGGGTGTTGAGCTTGCTCTGGGGACCACCTGTCTTCACCTTCCCAGGCTGGAATTATAGGCAGGTTGTCATGCTTTCTGGGAACCCAAACTCAACTCTCCATGCTTGTAAGGTAAGCACTTTAATTACTAAGCCATCTCTCCAGTTCCTCAAGACAGACCACAATTTGTTAGTGATAAATGAGCTGCTTGCCCCCGCCCCCCGACCAAGGTAGATCTTAGAAGCATCACTTCTGCTGGCCAGCCTTTGCTCTGATGGTACCTTTGACTCAAAATAGCATCTACTTGTGCGTGCTTCCTGGTGCTGTTGTGAGTGGGACCAGAACTCCTGGAGGATCCTTGAGATGCACAGTGCTTTGCTCCTCTGATCCTCTGCAGGAAGTAGAGAAGTAGGCGGTCCTTCCTCTCTTACAGGTTAGGTGGATTTTTCAAACATAGTTTTACTTTCCCCAGGCTGAGAAGCATGAGCAAGCTAGTCCCCCTTGCTAGTCTCCCAAGTGGGAGAGCAGAGTGTCCACTAGACCAGGAGCAGGGATGTGAGTGTCCAGCCTGCTGGATACATTTTAAGAGCTCGACACACAAAGAGACCTGTGTCCTTGAGCTGAATCTCAAAGACGTAATGAATTGCAGAGCTCACCATGGATGAGCCAGGACGGTGACTGTGAGCTGTGTCTATAGTACATATTTAGGGAATGTTGGAACCCAGTGCTTCTTACTCCTTCTCCTTCCCACTTCTCTTCCTTCTTCTTCCCCCTCCTCCTCTCTGTTCTCACCTATCTCCCTTTCCTTCCCAATTTTTATCTTCCTCCTCCTTCTCCTCCCTCTTTCCCTGCCTAACCATACTTCCATCTTCCCCTTTCTTCCTCCTCCTCCTTCCCCTTCTTCTTCAGCTTCCCATTCCTCCTCCCCTTTCTTCTTTCTTCTCTTCCTATCTTGATAGACCCTATTTATGCCCCGGGAGCAAATACACCAGGAATGCATCAGAAGGCATCCTTTCTGTGTCTCAGTCAGCGTCAGTGAGTTTTCTATTTAGAAGTACTTGCTAATCTGAATGGCTCATGTGAATTCGTTTGTTTATATGCACATTCTTAACGTGCCAGCCAGGGTGAAGTTCCAGCTCCCTTTATCTTGTCAAATGGTGAGAGAAAAATTGATTTCCACTCTGCAGTTCATTGACTGCCCCGCCTCATTTGGTGGGTTAATCTTCCCTTTCCCGCCGGCTTGCCACAGCTCCCCGACCCTCCCAGAAGTTTCATCTATGAGGAAATGTGTTCCTGGACAAACTGTACTGAGTTATTGACATCTTGACGATGACACCCACTTGGCCTTTGGGCCTAGGTTTTGAATGAGTGCTCTTTGAATGCACAGATATCCCGGGAATAGATTAATCTCTGGGTCTGAATTTTGGCACACTACCTTGTAGCGTTCACTGACTGGAGCTAAAGTAAGGATGTGGAGGACTGTTGGTAGCATTGGCAGTTTAAACATTGATGACTTGCTGAGGGTCACTCATTGCCCTGAGGGTTCACTTTGGCCTATGAAGTTGACTTGACAGCATCTTTTGGTTAGCATCAGCTCTAGCATGAAAAAAAACCCTAGTGATGTTTAGCTGAACAAAGGAAAAACAACCAAGGGCCATCACATTCTACAAGCACATACTGAATACCTGTTCTGGCAATTGCTATACATAGATGTCTCAAGCCTTGTTGGGTGACTTTTCCTGGTGACACATGAACAGATGTCTATGCATCCCAAATAGAGAACAGATGACAAGCCAAAGAAACAGTTCCCCTATAGTCTACTTTCGTGAGCCAGTGAGTCTATCGGGATTACTTACAGGAGCATGGGTGACTCAAAGGCAGCTGTACCCCTGAAAGTCTACCCAGCATGGGTGATGACTCATAAAAGTTTCATCTCATGAGCTCCCTGCACTTGGTGAGCAGTTTGGAAACATGCCCTAACCCCGCATAGTAACTGGTTATCTAACATTGAGAGGGATCTTTTGAGTCTTGTAAGTTCTAGGGGCTTTCTGTGCCTTGTAAGTTTTGTTGACTTCCCCTGGTCTTAATGAGTTTCCCTCTAGGAGGGAATGTTTAATTTCAGAGGAAATAGTTGTTCAATGGATTTGGTCTCTTACCCTACTTAAATCAGTTCCGTGGTAGTCATGCAAACTATGACTGGAGCCCAGTGAAACAAGAACTGAGCATTGCAGCTGCTCCTCTGAGAACAAGGTGGTGTTCCCCAGGTAGACCATGGGGAAAGACAATCCCCCAGGGGACATAGTAGTAGGTACCTAGAACTGTGAGAAACAACACATTGCTTTTTATGCAAAGGTGGGGATGGTAAGGATATAAGAGAGAGAAGCAGGATTAAACATTGGTTATGTTGAGGTGTTTTTTCTTAGTTTTAGGTCAAAATATCACTGAAGTTTGTAGAGCAGTATTGAATTTGCTTGGGGGGGGAGTAATCTCCAAACTATATGGAAGGTGGTATAGAGGCTTGTAAATGAATTTCTAAACAGTCTTATTAAATAAGAAACACAGAGCCAAATACAGGGGTAATAGCCAAAGAGATCAGAGCAATATCCACGACTAGCTTTAGTTTACCACCAGCAGTAGCTTCCACCGAGAGAGCTTCTTCCTATCTAACCCATGTTTTTATTGCCTTCCTGTTCTGCCTCCTCATTGGCTCTAAGCCCAGCCACATGACTTCCTCATCACTGCCTGTCTATATAGATCTCCAGGTCTCTATGGTTGGTACTGGGATTAAAGGTTCGTGTCACCACATTTGGCTGTGTCCTTGACCACACAGAGACTCTGCCTGCCATATAATTGGATTAAGGGTGTGTGCTACCACTGCCTGACTTCTGTTTTATGGCTATTTAAGCTCTGATCTCCAGGCAACTTTATTTATTAACATACAAATATAATATCACATTTCAACACAAATAAAATATCACCACAGAGGCAGCTGTGTGATTCCATAGTCCCAAATGCAAGTGTTGGTTCTTGGAAGCATTATCCCAGTGAACTTGGTAGAAAGGGAATTATCTATTGGAGAAATGCGAAAGAACTGCAACAGGTATTTAAGGAGTTAAACTGTTTAGAGATAACGACCATGTTGATGTGTGAGTACAAAGACGGAATTGTGACTTCTGTCAAATACAGCTGAATAATTTGAGGTACAGAGGAAGAGCAGATGGGAGGTGTGGTCATGATACGTGGGAGGTGCTGGGTGGGCATTTAGATAGAATACAGTCATGAATTGCTTAATGATGGGGAAGGGCACTGAGAAATGTCTCATCAAGAATTTCATTACGCTGTGAAAATCAAAGAGCATGCTTACACAAGCTTAGATGCTACACAGCTAAGTGTGTGTGTGTGTGTGTGTGTGTGTGTGTGTGTGTGTGTGTGTACACAAGTGAATGAGTGTTTTGTATGTATGAATAAAGCAACACAAAATTGAGTTAGGGACAAGAGGAAATGATGTAATCAAGACCTGTGGTAGGGTTGGGGAATGTAGCTCAGTCAATAGAGTTCTTTGGTAGCATGCACAAAGCCATGGGTCTGTCCCTCACATGGAATAAACTGAACATGATGGCATACACACATGTGGTCCTAACACTTGGGGAATGGGATGGGATGATCAGAAGTTAATGCCTTTCTCAGCTCCATTACAAGTCTGAGCCAGTCCTCAGCTATATTACATGAGACAACCAACAATAAAAAAAAAATTACAGGTTGTTTTTTTTTTCAAAAGAGGAGTAGAAATGTATATTATTAGATATACTAAGTATTGCCACTTTCTTGCGATATGTTGATGTTTTAAAACAAAGTGGGCCTTGGTAGTGTAGGCCTGTTATTCATGTGGCGAGGCAGGAGCATTGCGAGTTAAAGGCCATGTCTCTAAACAAAAAGCAAAAAAAAAAAAAAGGTTAGGAATGCTGCTCAATGATAGAGCACTTGCACAGAATCCTAGGTGAGGGGCTAGAGTTGGGGTGTGGATCAGCTATAGAGTGACTATTTAGAATCCTTTGGTGAGGGGCTGGGGAGTGGCTCAGTGGTAGAGCACCTGCCTAGAATCCTCCAGTGAGGGGTTGGGAGTGTGGTTCAGTGGTAGAGCACCTGCCTAGAACTCCCCAGTGAGGGGCTGGGGTGTGGCTCAGTGGTAGAGCACCTGCCTAGAATCCCCCAGTGAGGGGTTGGGGTTGTGGCTCAGTGGTAGAGCACCTGCCTAGAATCCCCCAGTGAGGGGCAGGGGTGTGGCTCAGTGGTAGAGCACCTACCTAGAATCCTCCAGTGAGGGGCTGGAGGTGTGGCTCAGTGGTAGTGCACCTGCCTAGAACCCCCCAGTGCGGGGCTGGGGTGTGGCTCAGTGGTAGAGCACCTGTCTAGGGTGCTTGGGCACCTGGCTTCAATACCCAGTACTAGGAAAAAAAAAAAAAACACCAAAAAACAGAACAGTGTTAAGAAGAGCTGGTGATGTAATTGAGAATTCTTTATTTAGGTCATGCCAAGGAGAAAAACATGGAGTTGTTTACTGCATGGCTGCTGATCACATTTACGGTACTTTTTCACTCAGACTTCTTTTCTCGTTGCAGGAGATGGGCAGGTGGATTTTGATGAATTCATGACAATTCTTGGGCCCAAGCTGGTGTCATCAGAAGGTCGTGATGGTTTCCTTGGAAATACGATAGACAGCATCTTCTGGCAGGTAAGTGAGATGTTCATATAAGATTGAGTCTGGCAGTTACGTGTTTTCTAGGGTGAACTAACTTTGACTCTGAAGTCTTGAGTGTCTATTCAGACTGAAGTGAACTCTCTTGGACTGGAGTGAGAGATGGGTGTTCTTTGAATCGGATGTCTCAGTTTAAGTCCACACTATACTCAGTGAGGATTTGGAGAAGTGAACTGTCTCCTCACATCTTTTCCTTGGAGCGGAGAGTTTGCGTTTGTGGGAGTGAAATTCTTCCATAACCAGCTTATGAAGGGATTTGTCCTGGGGACCTTGAAAAGGGGACCTTGATATTATCTATAAAAATTCTTACTTGGAGCTAAACCCCTGAAAGTTCTCAGTTTAGGTGTTCACAAGAGATAGTGAGGCAGGATATCTTTTTAGGTAAGAGATTATTGGGAGAGTTATTAATGCCATAGGCAAACAGGCATGAGACAAGTTCTGAGGAGAATTCAGTTCCATGAGACAGAGTGACTGTTTCCTCCCAGAGGTTTTAGGGAGAGAGGCAGTGTCCTATGCCATGTAGTTGCTGAGGGCTCATGGAGTCCATGCTGGCACTCAGATTTGTGTCTGTCCTCCGTGGCAGGAGTTGATCCCCCTAGGGACTGTGCGTCCGTCATAGGGGATATGGTTACTGTTGTGTCTGATTGGTTAGGGTGTGTGGTCAATTGACAGCATTGGAAGCAGGTAAACTCCCTCTGGACTGTGAGGACTGCCTAGTCACAGCAATGGTGGCTTTCATTTCTTCCACAGCAGCTGTGAGGAGAGAGAAGAGAGCAGTGGGGGAGAGAGCTAGAGCAAGTGTGTGTGTGTGTACACACGCGAGTGCATGCACGCACGCGCATACACACTTGCATGCAGGTGAGCTTAGCCTGAGTAACTGCTAGCCCAAACCTGACACTCCCAGGAGATTGCCCACTGACAGGGTGCCTAGTTGCTTGTGTTAGATCCCATCACTACAGGTGCGCTTCATATGACTCAAAAGTCTTATTTAAGGACCTGCTTCCAATGCTGTCAATTTACAGCCATTTCTGTCTTGCAAATTCTTGTTGGAGATTACTGATGCCTATATTCTAATTATTAGAGTGCCACTAAATCACTTCTACATCGCTTCTCTATTTTAAAACGCGACTGTTATTTCATGGTTATGGAATTGGGGGAATGGGTTATTAATCTTTGCTTTTAAAATGCAAGCCCGATAAGTCGTGAAGTTCAATTGAATTGATTTTCTTTTTAGGTTTCTAAAACGCCATTGAAGTTGGGCAGGGTGGTGCATACCGAGAGGAGACTTAAGTAGGAGGATTGCTATGAATTTGAAGCCAGCCTGGGCTACAAAGTTTGCAGGGTGAGACCCTTCTCACAAAACCAGAAACCAAGCCTAAATAATAGCAAACAAAAAGAAAAATATAAAAGCCAGGAAAAAGTAAATTAAGAAAAAATACAAGTACCATCAAAACACAGTATTTCTTTGATTTCTTAAGAGTCCCCCCCCCCCCCCCCCCGGTAAATATATTTTCCTAAGATGGATTAGCAATCCTTTTTCTCATCTCTCTTCTTATCCTGGTACTCATCTAGCATATAGCCAATGGGTGTATAAATACCTTTCATTTGGCTGTGCCAAAATAGATGACAGGAACAATTTGGAGGAAAAAAGACTCATTTTGGCTCACCGTCTCAGAGGATTCAGATGGTCACGTGGCTCTGTGTATCTGGACAGGACATCATAGCAGTGGAAGCACCTGGCGCAGGAGAGATGTTCACTCCCTTTACAGTGGACAGGAAGCAGAGAGCAAAACAGGAAGGGGATGGGTATCACATTCCCCCAAGGCCCTTACTCTTGTGATGTATCTTCTCAAAGAATTCAAACCATGACCCTGTGGGAGACATGTCAGATTCACACCATAATGCCATCTTTCAGCTCATCCAGACTGACTCGGAAAGGCCAAGTTGTTCCCACCTTGTACACTTTTCCTTCAGTTCCATTATTTCTTTCTATCCCATGCTCAACTCTCATGGTCCACCCTAACCTAGGAAGATGCCACAGGGCATCCTGAGCTCTATGCTTTCTTCCTGGTCCCATCTCAGACGAAGGAATAAATTGTGGGTATCAGATCCGTATCTTACACGGAGGCCCCAATTCTCCAGATTCTTCACAGTATGGCATCTCTAGGATCAGGCAGCTTTTTTTTCTCACATGATACTGACTCTCTTTAGCATAGTTCTGTCATTCTGTTATGATCACAGATTCTCGATGGGTTTTATTATACTGTAGGTCTCCCTCCTCTGGGGTGATAAGATGGGGTGCAGCAAAGTGAGCCAATGGGGGAAGTTGCATCTGAGATGATTTATTTTTATGTATTTTGTGTGACTGCATGTGTGCGAGTGTGAGTGAACATATGTGTCCTTCTACCTTTGTAGAATCAGGGTCCACCTTTGTTTTTTGAAGCAGGGTCTCTCACTGGCCTGAAATTCACTGATTCAGCTAGCCTCACTGGTCAGCAAGCTCTTGGGACCCATTTCAGCCTCTCCCAGTTGCTCAGATTATAAATTCAGGACACTATACACTATTTTTTGTTTGTTTTGTTTTGTGTGTGTGGTGGAGTCTGGGGATCAAACCCAGGTCCTCCTGCTTGTAAGGCAAGCACTTTACCAACTGAGCCACCGCCCCACCCCCCTTTATAATATTTAAATGAGTTCTGGCATGCCAAGGCTTGGGACTATGTCTCTCCTCTCCCACAGTTACTCCCCCAACTAGCACACAAGCAGAGGAACATTCCTCAGTTCCCAGCAGCCATGTTCCACTGCCTGATCACTGAGAAACAGCATGAGAAAACTGTGTGAAACACCCGCAGCAGCCATCCCTGTCTGGAGAGATGCTCACAGCCCTCCATGCTTGGGTGGCTGCGGGGAGAGGGGGTGTTAAGAGAAGGCTGTGTGCATGAATGTATCTATTTAGTCTGTGGCAGTGGTTGGTAGTATAAGAAAGAGGAACAGCAAAGGCAGGTTTCTGCCTCTGGTATTCCAGGAGGGGATGCTAGCAGCAGGAGGGCATAGTACCCTAGGAAGGACTCCATGCTAAGAGACTGGCAAGGCTTTCAATCAGAGCCAGCATCCAGTTCTCACAGGAGCAAAGGTACTTGGATTCAGCTGTGACTCCTCACATGGCATCCTAATAGGGGAGCTGAAAAATGACAATGAATATTTGGCAAGTCACACAGTTTCAGTAGATCATGAATTTGAGAGTGGCCCAGCTGGGTGCTCTGGCTCTGGATCTCTCAGGGAGCTGCTGTCAAAATGCCTGCTGTGGTCATGAGAAGGCTTGGCTGAGGCTCGCGGATGTGCTTTCGGCTACCTTGTTGCCCCGGCTGGCAACCTCTTCTCAGGTCTCCACCGTAAGGGCCTCTCCATACTGGCACTTGAGCATCCTGACATGCCATTGGCCTCGCTGAAAGCCAAGGATCAAAGAGAGTGCAGTGCAGAAGGCATGGGGACTTTAAGACTTCGTGTGTGTGTGTGTGTGTGTGTGTGTGTGTTCTCGTATGCACACCTCTCCCACAGTTACTTCCCCAACTAGCAAACAAGCAGAGGAACATTCCTCAGTTCCCAGCAGCCATGTTCCACTGCCTGATCACTGAGAAACAGCATGAGAAAACTGTGTGAAACACCCGCAGCAGCCATCCCTGTATGGAGAGATGCTCACAGCCCTCCATGCTTGGGTGGCTGCGTGGAGAGGGGGTGTTAAGAGAAGGCTGTGTGCATGAATATATCTATTTAGTCTGTGGCAGTGGTTGGTAGTATAAGAAAGAGGAGGCTGGAAGCCCAGCTTCAAGTATTGTTCCCCAGGATCTGGCTCCTTTGGTTAATGACAGAGTCTCTCATTGGGCTTTATCAACTAGGCTAGGCCACTTGGCTAAAAAGCCTCAGGGATGCACCTGTCCCTGCCTCCCCCACACCTGGATCACAAGCACACGCCTGCCCAGGTTTTACCATGCAACGTGACTGCTGGGAATTGAACTCGGGCCCCCCTGCTTGCTAAGGAAGCACTTACTGACTAAGTGATCTCTCCAGCCCAAGCCTCCGCTCCTGATCTGATACTGCTTCCACAAACCTTGCTTTTTCTCAAGCTTCAAATTCCTCCTCCCTTAGAGAAAACCCAAAGATGGGGAGGCTCTTCTTCTCTACATCACAGACAAGAAATCTTGCTAAGCACTGAGCTCATCTTCCTAATTAAATCTTTTTCTGATGCTCCTACCTTCCTGGAGTTCTAGCCTACATTGCCAAGGGTAAAATAAAATCAAATGTGATTTTGAAAAAAAAAAAAACTATTTATCGCTTGGTACCAGTCCTAAAATTATGACCTGCTGCATTTGTGCAGGGAATTGGATTGGTGACATTGGAATGTAACTAGCTGTACCTACAGTTTCCTTCTTAAAGGATATAGCCTGCAAGTCATGGTCTAGATGGTCTGGTCCAAACAGGGTATTCTGTGCCTGGGTGTGAGGCTCAGATTCCATGGTATCCAGTTCAGCACCCTCTTAGATAGTAAGTTATAACTTGAAAGCCTTTGGTATGTGTGTATGCCCATGTGCATCGTAGAAGCTCAAAGACAACCTCAGGTGTTGTCTTAAGCCACCCCACCCCGTCCCCCACCCGCCACTGCCTCTTGAGACAGGGTCTCTCACGGGCTTGTAAATCACCATAGGCTAGCTGGGCCCGTGAGTCCCAGAGATTTCCCCATCTCTGCTTCTTCAGTGCTGGGATTTTTACAAGCATCTGCTATCACACCTGGATCCGTGGAAGGGTCCTGGGGGTGGAATTCAGGTCCTCCTTTATCAACTGAGCTCTCTCCCCTGCCAGAACTTCTGTTTTCTTTTTGTGACAATGTATCCTGAGTTGGCCTCCAACCCTGATCCTCCTGCCTCAGCCTCCAGCATGAGACTTATAGGCACCTACCACCAATGCTCAGCTGAGAACTTTGG